CTGGTTATATTGACCCAGGACTTGCAATGTGATTTTTGCAAAAGGCCCATACAGAGTATTGTTATGCATGGGTATTTTTGGGATTTTATTGTAGTTTGTAAAATTAAACCCTTGTATGCTTTAGTGTGTGTGTGCTGTTTCTGAACCACCAAAATGTGTAAACATTTCCAAGAATAACAGCATTTTTGCATGTAGCAGGTTTTTGGCAGGACTTTTTTCATGGGATTAAGCAGTGTGCAAATAAACTTTTATTGGGGTGCACGAATTTGCATGTTCCTTGGACTTTTGACTGGCAGGTATACACCTCCAGTCCATGCCCGTAACAATTAAACACAAACTAATTTGGAAAACAATTGTATTTGTAAAATATGAACCCATCTGAGTTTGCTGGTTGTTTATTTTTTTTTAATATGGTACACTAGTGGGCTAAGATGGTTAATTATGGAATAGGGGCCTGTTTATTTGGAGTTTAGCATATGATTTAAAAAATTTTTTTTTTAAATTTTAGAGCTATTACCTGGTTTTGGTCCTTTTATAGCTTAGAATTAGTGGTTTTTTGCTTATATAATTTTGTATTTATTTAATGGCTTGGTTTACTTTGTATTATAAGGTAGTTTTGTTATTTGCGATTGTTTAAGCCACTGGAAGAAGTTATGCTGTGTTGCCGTAGGGTGTTTTTTATCATTTTTAATGAGGCATTTGGGATTAATTATGAACCTCATTTGCTGCTTAAACAGAATTTGATACGGCTGAATTTTTGCTTTTAGCCTGTCACAGCTGCGGATGGCAGCCAAGAGTAAGGGCAGCTTTTTAGGCCAGTTTTTATTGGTGTGGTTCATCACTTTTTGCAGTGCCTTTTTAATGGTACAATTTATTTTTTTTACCTGTTTTGAGGATGGAGGTCGGTATGGGATATGAAATTTTTGTTTAATTTTGAAGGCATGCGTTATTATGGTAAAGATTATTTTGATGAATGCACCCCCCGTTATTTGAGTTTATAACCTTGGGGGCTCTGTACCTACAGACCACTTTTGTACTAAGCTTTTTAGCAGCGGTTCTGGTGCTGTTGTTTTAGGGAAAGCTTTTCCTCATTTTGAAAAGGAATTCACAATGACTAGTAGGGATGGAAACCTTTTTTTACTTTTTGGTAATTTATTCATGAAATTAATTAGAATTTTGTGCCACGGTTTAAGTTGTTGCTGGTGGATTATTGGCTGCCAATGTGGGGGTGAGCTTTATTCCTCGCACAACGAACAGAATTTTGTACCCATGTTTTTATATTTGCTCATTTAGCTACTTGCTCTAATGTTTTAGTGTTTCGTTTTTGTTTTGTTTTACACCTTTGTGCATAAATTGGTGGGCTACTGTCACGGAGTCCCCGGGCGATGCGCTGGAACTGCTCCCCATGAAGCCAGGCAGGACTCTGGGGAAGTCTCCTTTCTGTGAGCAGCCTGTCTGCAGGACACACAGCTCACCCGGCTTCCACCTTCCTGGGTCTGACCTCGGAGCATTCAGCATCCTCTGCCCCTCTGTGCACTTCCCACAGTGAGTCCCCCCAGGCGGGCTCCTGGGGAAGCCAGAGGGTCCTGCCCCCCAACTCCACAGTCAGACGGGACTCTCAGCCAGCCAGTAAAACAGAAGGTTTATTAGACGACAGGAACATGGTCTAACACAGAGCTTGTAGGTGCAGAGAACAGAACCCCTTAGCTGGGTCCATTTTGGGGGCCAGTGAGCCAGACAACCACGTCTGCACTTCACTCCATGTCCCCAGCCAGCCCCAAACTGAAACTCTCTCCAGTCCCCCCTCCTCTGGGCTTTGTCCCTTTCCCAGGCCAGGAGGTCACCTGATTCCTTTGTTCTCCAACCCTTTAGCTCTCACCTTGCAGGGGGGAAGGGCCAGGCCATCAGTTGCCAGGAAACAGGGTGTCGGCCATTCTCTGTGTCCAGACCCCTGCACACACCTGCCCTCTAGTACTCTGCAACGATCATACACCCTTCTCCTACCCCCTAGATACTTAAGAACTGCATAGGGGAAACTGAGGCACCCCAACACAATTCAGAGGAAACATTAAGAACAGTCCTGCTTCGTCACAGCTACATTAAGCAGATTTTGTTTTTTAAGCTTTTTGGGGGTACGTTTAGAATCGCTTGAGGCGCCATTTCCTGGCTGAGATGCATCATTGTTAGTGCTTTTTGTTTGGCTTTTAGTGATTATTGCAATATTAGGCTGTTGAGCATAACAAGACCCCCTGCAAGTTTATGGGGCCTTGCTGTGTTACGCTGGAGTTGTTAATTAGAAAGTAGTGAAGGCTGGTTTGAATTAACTTTGTGCTGGGTTGTTTGGGGGAGTTTTTGCAGTATAATTTTTATTTTGCTTTTTTGGCTTTACTTTTCTTTTAGTTTGGGGGGTGTTTGCCTTTGCTTTAGGGTTGTTAATTTGCCCTTCCTCAGCCCTTCGAACGACCCTGGCAGTTTGGTCGGCGCCTCTCGAATTCTTGCTCCCCTTTGTTTATCCTGCCCACTTGGCGCCTCCTATCTCTTCTCCGTTAGCACACCGGACAGTCCTTTCCTCACCCGCAGAACAGGAAATAACTTCGAAAGCAAGACTTCTTGCAGAGCAAAGATTTTTTACAGAGCTAAACAAAGCTTACCAAAACAACTCCTTCTTAATACTACTGAAACTAGTTCTTTTTGCTAAATTAAAATACATTATGCTTGTTACTACTTACATTAATTATTATTTAAAACAATGTTCTCTGTTAGGCTGCTGGGCCTACATGCTGAGGAGGAGAGGGGAGAACTGAGGCCCCCCCCCAACTTTAAATGGTGCTCCAGAGCCCTGTACGGCAGCTCCTAGCAAGCAATGTATCTTCTCTGAAGGGTCTCACCTACTGGAGCTAAAAAAAGGCTGGAGTGACCCAGGCCCAGACAATAGCATTTAGGTTCCTACCTGCCTAACTCCCTTTTGAAAATAAAACCGGTTCCTACATAGACTAGATGTGCAACCCTGAGCACAGCAATGCCTCAATACCCTGTCCAAAACCTGGGCAAGAGTGACCTTGAAGAAAAATCATTGGCTTAATGATGTTGTCATCAAGTTCTTGGCAGGTATATACTATCAGTTTCTGAATTGACCACCAAAAACAGTTGTGTATTGCTGTAATATTTACTCAGAACATGTCAGCCTACAGGACCTTAGTTTAAAATTTGCTTTAAAAATATTTCATTAGTGTGTTGCTGAAGATTTTAAATCACATCTCTAAAAAAATTCTTGCATAGATTTTTAGATGCACAATCTGAATATTCATCTTTAGCCTTAAATGCTTGGATCTTCAGACATATCGTTTTTAAAATAAATCCTTCAAAAGACCACCCTTCTCTAAAATACACGTTTTAATTTTAAAAAACTTGCTTCCAAAGTCGTCCTGTCCTGTCCATCCTTGTAATCTTTCTCCCGTCACCTCCTGTGGAAGAGAGCCCTTAAAGGGACAACACCCCTTTTCTTCCAGATAAGGAATCTCGTTTGTCTACCTTTCTTTACTGTTCTGACAATTTGGTGAACCTAGTTATAAGAGAACCCTCCAGCAAAATCAGTACCTTAGTAAGATAGAAAATCCTTTGTTATGCCTAAAATCTTTGGAAACATATTTTTTTAAGTCGGTGAAATTTCATAAGCACGTCTATTGTTATGGAGATCACACAAATTAAATTAGTGTCCCTTTTTCTAAAAGCAGTGAATATTGTTATGAACACACTAAACCTCTGTGACTGATGAATTTAAAATAATGTCTTTGTTTCAGTGAATTAAATCTGTAGTACTCTGGAATGATTCCTTTCTGAAGGCTTAAGAGTACATTTAAAATATAAAACCAGCTTAGAAATACTGATTAAGAAAATGTAAAACAGAGAAGAGCTGCATCATGTATCCCATAATATTTAACGTTGTGTTCAGCAGGACAGCTGACTCACCCTTACTACAAAGCTTTTGCAAATAAACCTCTGACAAACTTCAGGGTATATCAAAAAAACCGTGACTGACACTTCTTATTCCCAAGTTTAAAGTGCTTTTAATTAGGTACTTTCTGCATGTCCAGTCCTCACCATCTGGCATGCAGTGGGAAACACGCTCCATTTTCTCTAGAAAGAAATGGCAGAGGAGTGGTTTTTTCAAACATCATTTGCTTCATTTGGGTTCAGGGATTTGGCTGAAAGGGGTGAGTGGGGTGGGGAGAGAAGAGAGGAGGGGGAAAGAGGGAGGGGCGAGGCCTGGGGTAGAGCAGAGGTGGAGCATGGGCAGGGCCACAGACAGAAAAGTTGGGCTGGGGAGCTTCATCCACTCATAGGTGCCGACTTCCCCTCTGCCCGGTGGGTGCTCGACAGCCCCCCACAACCCCTGGCCCCGCCCCTGCACCGCCCTCACCCCAGCCCCATTCCACCCCCTTCCTCCAAGTCCCCATCCCTGCCCTGCCTCTTCTCTGCCTCCTCCCCTGAGCATGCCACATCCCCGCTCCTCCCCCCCCCCCTCCCTCCTGGAAAGTCCTAAGCGCCGCCAAACAGCTGTTAGTTGGCGGGGGAGGAGGGGTGGGAAGCGTTGGGGGCAGTGGGGATGCGGCATGCGAGGGGGGAAGCTTGGCTGCCAGTGGGTGCAGAGCACCCGCTAATTTTTTCCCTTGGGTGCTCCAGCCACGGAGCACCCACAGAGTTCGCACCAATGCATCCACTGCCCATGGCTTCAGACATCACTCTGAAATCTAGACTGTCTGAGCCAGTGTGAAGTGATGGAAACTCCTATGAGCCTGAATGAGAGCTTCTTTTGTTCCAGATATCACCCGGTTCCATTCACACTGGGATTCACAGTCTGTTACAGTCCAATGTTTAAGTTTTCAACCATTTTTGGCTTTTTTACACATGACTTTCCAAATTACATCTGTGTGACAGCCTGGGGTTTTCAGTTACAAGTATAGACTCAGCAACATTGAGATCCACCCAGCTGATCTTACCTGATACTTGGTCACCACTGTTAAAGAGGCTGGTCTCCAAGATAACTGGGTCCGGGGTATTTCAGAGCTTTGACTAAAAGCACCAACTTCAACTGGTTAGAATTCATGAAGTTATATCACTCGTTACAAGTATTCAGGCAACTGCTGGTTATCTAGTAAAAGGTTCACAAATCACAAAAGCTTAATAAGTTTTTGCAGAAATGAATATTCTTTGAAAACTTATTGGAATGAATAACATTCAAAGCAAAGAGGATTCAAACACATATGCTGCCAGAAAGCATTTCATCCGGAGTATTCTGAATAGTTTACAAATCATGAATACACTTGCAGAAGTCAGGAGTGATTCACCAGCCAAAAATGTGACAAGCTCATCATTCATTTGACACATAATATCTGACCAGCTGTAGTTATCACCAGGGAATGACCTAAAGGCCAGAAAAACCTGAACACCGTGAATTCATGGTTATCGTATCTCTTGGGAAGGGGGCATCCTCTGCAATATGATGCTAAAGATACTAAATTTATTGAGAAGCTTTCAAATTAGCATGAGATGATTAACCAAGTTCAATCAAAGCTCTCAAGAATCACCTTCTGGGTGATTCCATCTCTCCTGGAAATTATTAGCTGGATCTTGTACAGAGAGAGAGAGAGAGAGAGAGAGAGAGATCTGCCAGTCAAAACCTTTTTCTTCCTGTAATCCAGGAGCATTTTCAGTGACAGATCTTCAGTTATACACATTCTTTAGTCAGAGATTACAACCAAGTGAAGGACAAACAGCCAACAATACCTCTGTGCCTGGAGAACGAACGTTTGCTCCTCCTGCAGCCTCTGGAGCGCCTTCCAGCTGCTGTGCCCTCCGGCCAGGCTACTGGAGCTCTCACAGGACTGATGCCAATTTATAGGGATGCTTCTGTTATGTCACTGATAGAAACTAAGTGCTTATGGAAAGGTTTCAGAGCAGCAGCCGTGTTAGTCTGTATTCGCAAAAAGAACAGGAGGACTTGTGGCAACTTAGAGACTCACCAATTTATTTGAGCAAAAGCTTTCGTGAGCTACAGCTCACTTCATCGGATGCATGTGAGCTATAGCTCAAGAAAGCTTTTGCTCAAATAAATTTGTTAGTCTCTAAGTTGCCACAAGTCCTCCTGTTCTTTTTGCTTATGGAAAGACAGAGATAGAATCAATTATTTCAGTTTCATTATTGGTCTGTGCAATTTGTATGGGGTGGTGGGCTGGAGTTGGAACCTGATTAGCAAGCGACCTCTGCCTGGAAAACAATTCCAGATGTGCTTTATAGGAACTCTGGGTAACCTGACAGCTCTCAACCTGCCACAGCATCGGAAACAGAGCAGTGCGTGAACCAGAGGACTGAAGTGCTGGTACCTCTCTCCCCTCAGGGCTGCAGTCAGGTTGATCAGCTCTTTCCCCAAGGCTGCTATCAAATCCCCCCCACTCTTCTGTTCTGCAGACTAAATAACCCCAGTTCCCTCAGCCTCTCCGCATAAGTCATGTGCCTCAGCCCCCCAGTCATTTTCATTGTCCTCCGCTGGACTCTCTCCAATTTGTCCACATCCTTTCTGTAGTGGGGGAACCAAAACTGGACGCAATAATCCAGCTGTGGCCTCACCAGTGCTGAATAGAGGGGAATAATCACTTCCCTCGATCTGCTGGCAATGCTCCTACTAATGCAGCCCAATATGCCGTTAGCCTTCTTGGCAACAAGGGCACACGGCTGACTCATATCCAGCTTCTCGTCCACTGTAATCCCCAGGTCTTTTTCTGCAGAACTGCTGCTTAGCCATTCGGTCCCTAGTCTGTAGCGGTGCATGGGATTCTTCCATCCTAAGTGCAGGACTCTGCACTTGTCCTTGTTGAACCTCATTGGATTTCTTTTGGCCCAATCCTCCAATTTGTCTAGGTCACTCTGGACCCTATCCCTACCCTCCAGCGTATCTACCTCTCCTCCCAGCTTAGTGTCATCTGTGAACTTGCTGAGGGTGCAATTCATCCCATCATCCAGATCATTAATAAAGATGTTGAACAAAACTAGCCCCAGGACCGACCCCTGGGGCACTCTGCTTGATACCGGCTGCCAACTAGACATTGAGCCATTGGTCACTACCCATTGAGCCTGACAATCTAGCCAGCTTTCTATCCACCTTATAGGACATTCATCCTGTGACGGTGCCCCCCATAAGGCTTTATGGAAATATACTTATGAATGTATATATGACATAACTAGAATGTGTTTTATGCTACATATGCCGTGTAACATATCTCTGTAAAGGTTATGATCTACTGAATTTATTAATCCTATTTGTGTGCATGTATCATTTTTGTATTTGAGTTATGAGTATTGGCTGCATACTTGTTTAATTCTGAGTATGTTTTAGTGAAGCAGTTGGTCAGCTTCTTGAGAAAAGACTATTCTCAGTAAGTGCCCAATTAAGAAGCCCTTTTTTAAGCTAACAATGAACATGGAGACAGCAATCCACATCTGGGCTTTCCCAGAAATGTGGCTTGGCTGGTAAGGAATTCAGTCATGCAGGGACATGTGACTTGCCCAGGTGACTCCAAAACTCCATTTTTTAGCTGGACTTTGCATAGGAGAGAAGAGGGGGTCTCCACCAACAAAAGAAAGTCTATTTAAACCCCGGGGAGACCCCTCCATTTTGTCTTCAGCTGGCTAAAGAGAGAGCTTCTCCACCCCAAGGATACCTGAAAGAAACTGGAACAAAGGACAGTAACTACAGGGGGTGTGAGTGATTGCTGAACCCAGACTAGAAGGACACTAGTCTGTAAAAGAGAGCTTACTGGAACTGGTGAGGTTTTATCTCTATTCAGTTTGATTAGACCTAGACTTGCGTGTCTTATTTTATTTTGCTTGGTAATTCACTTTGTTCTGTCTGTTACTATTTGTAACCATTTAAATCACTTTCTGGATTTAATAAAATCTTATTGTTTTACTTATTAATTACCCCAGAGTATGTAGGTTTCAGAGTAGCAGCCGTGTTAGTCTGTATTTGCAAAAAGAAAAGGAGTACTTGTGGCACCTTAGAGACTAACCAATTTATTTGAGCATAAGCTTTCGTGAGCTACAGCTCACTTCATTTAATACCTGGGGCGGGGGGGAGCAAACAGCTGTGCATATCTCTCTATCAGTGTTATAGAGGGTGAACAATCTATGAGTCTACCCTGTATAAACTTTATACAGGGTAAAATGGATTTATTTAAGGTTTGGACCCCATTGGGAGTTGGGCATTTGAGTGTTAAAGACAGGAACACTTCTGTAAGCTGCTTTCAGTTAAGCCTACAGCTGTTAGGGAACATGGTTCAGACCTGGGTCTGGGTTTGCAGCAGGCTAGAGCGTCTGGCTCAAACCAGGCAGGCACTGAAGTCCTAAGCTGACAGGATAGGAAAGCAGGGGCAGAATTAGTCTTGGCACATCGGGTGGCAGTCCCAAGGGGGGTCTCTATGATCCAACCCGTCACACATCCAATCCATACTTCTTTAACTTTCTAGCAAGAATACTGTGGGAGACCGTATCAAAAGCTTTGCTAAAGTCAAGATATATCACATCCATCGCTTTCCCCATATCCACAGAGACAGTTATTTCATGACAGAAGGCAATAAGGTTGGTCAGGCATGACTTGCCCTTGGTGAATCCATGCTGACTGTTCCTGATCACCTTCCTCTCCTCCAAGTGCTTCAAAATGGATTCCTTGAGGACATGCTGCATGATTTTGCCAGGGACTGAAGTGAGACTCAACAGTCTGTAGTTCCCTGGGTTCTCTTTCTTCCCTTTTTTAAATACGGGCACTATATTTGCCTTTTTCCAATCGTCCTGGACCTCCCCTGATCACCACGAATTTTCAGAGATAATGGCTAATGGCTCTGCAGGCACATCAGCCAACTCCCTCAGCACCCTCGGGTGCATTAGATCTGGACCCATGGACTTGTGCACGTCCATCTTTTCTAAATAGTCCTTAACCTGTTCTTTCCCCACTTAGAGCTGCTCACCTCCTCCCCTTGCTGTGTTGCCCAGTGCAGCAGTCTGGGAGCTGCCCTTGTCTGTGAAGACCGAGGCAAAAAAAATACTTTAAGTACTTTAAGTACTTCAGCTTTTTCCACATCATCTGTCACTAGGTTGCCTCTCCCATTCAGTAAGGGTCCCACACTTTCCCTGACCTTCTTCTTGTTGCTAACATACCTGTAGAAACCCTTCTTCTTACCCTTCCCATCCCTTGCTAGCTGCAACTCCAGTTGTGCCTTGGCCTTCCTGATTACACCCCGGCATGCTGGAGCAATATTTTTATACTCCTCCCTAGACATCTGTCCAAGTTTCCACTTCTTGTAAGCTTCCTTTTTGCATCTAAGCTCACCGAAGATTTCACTGTAAAGCCAGGCTGGTCGCCTGCCATATTTGTTATTCTTTCTGCACATCAGGATGGTTTGTTTCTGTGCCCTCAATAAGGCTTCTTTAAAATACAGCCAGCTCTCCTGGACTCTTTCCCGCCTCATATTAGCCTCCCAGGGGATCCTGCTCATCAGTTCCCTAAGGGAGTCAAAGTCTGCTTTTCTGAAGTCCAGGGTCCGTATTTTGCTACTCTCCTGTCTTCCTTTTGTCAGGATCCTGAACTCAACCAGCTCACAGCCACTGCTGCCTAGGTTACTACCAACTTCTGCTTCCCCAACCACTTCTTCCCTGTTTGTAAACAGCAGGTCAAGAGGAGCACAGCCCCTAGTCAGTTCCTAGTTAGTACAATTACCCTAGGAGCCTGCAAAGTACCTGAGGAGTTTAAATCTTTCCCTCCAGTGAGCATCACTTTGCATTTATCAACAGGGAATTTTACTCGTTGCGTGTTCCTAGAACTTCTTTAGAATCATAGATTACCAGGGTTGGAAGGGAGCTCAGGAGATCATCTAGTCCAACCCCCTGCTCAAAGCAGGACCAATCCCCCAGTTTTTGCCCCAGATCCCTAAATGGCCCCCTCAAGGATTGAACTCACAACCCTGGGTTTAGCAGGCCAATGCTCAAACCACTGAGATATCCCTCCCTTGAGAGAAACCTTGAAGTTTCTCTCAAGTTCCTTACAGCCCCCTTCTGATCCTGATTAATCTAAATACCTTGTTGTCAGCTGCAGATTTTGCTCCCTCCCTGCTCACCTCCACCCCCCCCCCCCAGCAGATCATTAATAAATATCTTAAACAACACGGGACCTAACATGGAACCTTCTGCCATGATGGAAGTCGGCCTTTGGTCCAGCATGGACTGGGAGTGTGGACTCTGCGCACTAGCCACTCTGAAGGCTGCACTGTGGTGTTTACAGAGCGATTGTTACCTGCGTTTGCTGGATTCAAGCTACCTTGGGGAGGGGAGCCCATGCACAGCGTTTGCTGTGTGCACAGACCCTCAGACTTCCAAAGGGCCTTTGACAAAGTCCTGCACAATAGGCTACCAAAGAAGCTAAGCCGTCATGGGGTGAGAGGCAAAGGGTTGTCGTGGATCAAACACTGGCGAGGAGAAAGAAAGCAAGAGCAGGCTCCGATGGCTCTCCTCTGTGCAGGGAACATGTCAAAGAATTCTGAGACGAGTGGGACGTGATGTTTGTTGGCAGAATCCATGCTGGTTAGACCCTGTAGGATCATGACCTTCCTGATGTTCTTTTTTTAATGAGTGATTCAAACAATTTACCAGGTGGAGCTGCAGGACATATGGGTCTATAGCGTACGCGCCGTTGACTCTCTTTAGTACGTCAGCTTGGCTCCCCCTATGTTGTAGTTCCAAACTTTAGCCTGAAGAACTGTGGGAATATTGCTTCCCGAAAGGGGCAGACACTCGGTGAGATCAATCCCAAGATGGTGAGAACACCTGGGGTGTGGGGGTAGGGGTTGGGGTTAGGGTTGGAGGGAGGGAGGAAACAGAACCATTTGAGCTTCAGAGGCAAACAGAAAACCACCATGAGTGCTAGGAAATGTAGATGCCATGTGATTTATAGGGGGCTTCATCT